CAGCTGATATGTGCCAAACTCTGCTTTCATAGCTGGCGTCCAAGATTTGCTCTTACCGCGCCATTCGCCACCCTGAAAAACTTCTCAAGTTCGTTTTCAGAAAATCTTGAGTACAAAACAAAAAAAAACACATTGAAGACGTTTTCTACGATTGCGAGTCGTGGCTGGTAGGGTCCAACTATGAATTTGGCCGCGGCTCAGCTTGGAAGGGGCACCGAATGGCACTCAGCGAAGTGTACAGGCTACCCTGTGAGAACCTGTACACTCTTGTAACTGTGGCGGTTTCGGTGGCTAACTTGTACATTTCGCAGCCTCACACGAGTTTACAGGTCTCGTCAAAACGAGACCTGTCGGTTCACACGATAAGGCAATAGGAACTAACGAAAGTGCCAGTTCCAAGCCGAGTTTGTAGATGTCAACTGACTTAAAAGCGAAGAAGATAGGAGCAGACATCGTCAAAACAGCTCTAAATAAGGCCCTCATTCTTACAGCATATTTTGACCATTTGTCTAGCCGGAAAAGAGAGGCGAGGAGACACTGGGATCACGGTTGAGAGAGCAGGACAAAGGGTAAGATAAATGGAAGATGAGCGAGCATCTATACATATAGCCAACATTGGTAGTAAGGGTACAGCATCGCTGTGAAACACATAGGGGGTCGTACTTTTCCGCTGGAGAGGGGGTTGTATTTGGACGTTGTTGGGAGAGGGAGCCGTAGAAAATTTTCTCCTGGTTGTAAACGGAAATGGAAATAAAATAGTAAGGTAGGTTTGGGAAAGGGAGGGAGCAAGGGTCGTACCCGGGACCCTCACTTAGGTGGGTGGGCGTATTGGCACACCTTCCCCCAGTGGGGTGGTCGTACTTAATCACCATCCCACGCATCACGATGCTGTCTGTTGGTAGTCCACCCAAGATAAATATTTAGTCTTGCCAGGGACTTAGGTAGAAAACGCTGGAGCACGCGAAACCTAGTATTTCGACACGCGCTGGTGGCCCCAGCATGCATGTACCTTCTTTGGTGGAGACCGCCGAACTGGTGGGGAGGAGCTATGTAGGCAAATGACTGCTTCAGCACTTTCGTCGACTCACCTTCAAAACGTGAAGGTAACATAACCACTGCGATCGCAGACCGAGCTATGCCGTACAAAAAAGGAATTCCACATATCCAGTAAGTGTGGAATGAGTAACAGCAAGAGTTAAAGCAAATCATAGTGGCCACAGGTCAGTACTGAATAGCGACCTGGAAAGAGGTCTGCGCCACTTCAGCGCAATTTACCATGCCTTGTAGGGCCCCTCACTCGTTTCCTATTATTGACGCGAGTAAGGAGCCACTGTTTGAAGCGAAGCACGTCCTTCACGTAGAGATCTTCTCCAAATGCAACACCCCTAACAATTCTTCATCCGTCCTTGTATGACCCCCCCCCATTACTAACATGCCAGCCTATAATACCTTTCCGAACAAATTTCCTGTTTTCCCGAGGAACCGCCGCCGACCGCTCGGGGAGGGGTGACCATCCAATCAGGGGAAACGTAGAATGGAAACCAATTCATCCAGAATTGTTTCAATATGTCGCCAATTACCTTCATATTGGTCAAATTTTCTAGTTTCAGCGCTTCAATGAGGGCAGCTTCTCGAACAAACGCTTCTTCATCGGAGACACTGTGACTGATTTGTAAACAAATGACACCGTATCCGTTTTCCCAGATTGAATCAATACGTCGGAGCTTCGCGTTTGAGACCTGGAATTGTGCAAAGGACCGCTTACAGAAGAGGCTGCAGAAAGTCTATGAGAAATTAAGCAAGGTAGAAACACGTGCAATATACAGGCTGTACCAACCATTTTTGGCGACTTCACTTCCTTTTCCTTCTTTGCTTCAATCAAATGAGCTAAAGGACGTGCCTGAAAAAATAATTGAAGACAAATAGTCAAGCATCCATGGTGATAGATCTCCGTGCCGCGTGCCTCGGGAGAGGCCAGCAGTTCTGCGTCAGAGCTTAGTAGCAGGGCGATTTTCAGAGGGAAAAGTATCTCCGGGATGGGGTGATGAGTGGTTCACATCCCGAAGCTTAGCCTCCCTTGAGAACTGTAGGCTAGTCCCTTCCATGGCACATAGCGCCGCGATCTTTTCTCCGACTGTGACAGCTCTTTGACTTAAAGCGCTAATGCAGCTGAGAGGGGGGGGGGGTGGGGTGGCAACGAGAACGGCCGCGCGGACGCTGGTTAACCTAGTCTATGAGGCTGACGCTTAGAAGGCGAAAATGAAAGGACCACCAATTCAGCGTGCCGGCTCAAACGATTAAACTCAGTCGCGGTGCGAGGTGTCGAGCT